TAAGGAAAGGGCAGAATTTGGGATGGCCCAGGTGGCAAAATGGTTAAATTTGAATTTACTGACCCTTAATGCAGCAAAAACTAATTATATCTGTTTCAGTATATCTAAACGCACGCAACCCTCGGAAGATTTCAATATAAGGATTCATACGTGTAACAACATAAATAACTGCGCCTTTAATAATAACTGTCCATTTATAAATAAAGTAACATATACACAATATTTAGGTGTAATAATAGACCAGAAATTGTCATGGTATTCTCACATAGAACATGTATCTAACAGAATTGCTAAATTAAATTGGATATTTCGTACCTTAAGACATGTGGTGCCAAAAAAAAGCGTCCACTGAACTTATGCAAAACAAATTATTAAACGATATATACACAGCTTTGGTACAATCCGTTTTGGGGTACTGTATATCTATATGGGGGGGGTGCTTGCAAAACAAAATTTATCCACTTGGAACGTGCGCAACGTGGTTTAATTAAAAATATGTATTTTAAAAACAGAAGATATCCTACTACAAGTCTTTACAATGAAACACAGTTATTATCAGTACGAAAAATTTATGTACTGCACACAATATTAAAGAAACATAAGTCCCTATCTTTTAATCCAAATATTTTACAAAAGAGGAGAAAAGAATTAGTAGCACAAGTTCCCAATACTCACACGTTTTTTGCTAGAGTTCAGTATAGTAAACGCGCAGCAGAATTATACAACAAAATTAATAAACATGTAGGAATTTACACAATGACCCATTACGAATGTAAAAATGCAGTAAAAAAAGTATCTACAACCACTTGATTATGAGGAAATTGAGTCTCTCCTTGAAAAGTCGCTCATATGAATACTCAAATAAGTACAGCACGCACACACACACGCACGCACGCTTGCACTCACGCACGCACACACATACACACACACACACACACACACACACACACACACACACACACACACACAGCGCACACACACACACACACACACACACACACACACACACACACACACACACACACACACACAAGCATGCACGTTTTTATATTAGTTGTCTAAAAGTATTTCAATGATTTTGTTTGTGAAGTTGTGGAAGAGCGGAGCCTCCTACTACAGGCGCTCTGTGCTTAAAGGGAGGCTCTAGCCACTTATTTATGTTAAAATACCTTGTGATTTAAATAAAGAATTATTATTATTATTATTATTATTATTATACTATCAGTCAGCCCTGGCTTTGTACCGGTGATTTCTGGATCTTGATAACAGCATCGCCTACTGGGTCCAATCTTGAATTTAAACCCTCTGAATCTAAAAAACAATCTCTCAAGCGCACACAAAAATTTCATCAAAACCGTTTGAGTCATTTTCAAATTTGAGCGAGACTAACGAACAGTAAATGCTTCTATTTATGGAGATTAGCATGATGTAATAAACAATTAAATAACCTGATTTTTTTATGGGAAGGGGTGACAAATGAGCACACAGTCCACCAGATGGTGACATTAACATAAATCTTCAACTATGAATCAAAATGCAGATGCATTGTTACCAATGAGGACTAAGATGGAATGCCTCGCTTCCAGTAAAAAGTGTCTCTGGTTCTCTACATTCACCATACGAAATAAAGCAGCATTAAGCAACTATTTTACGCTGGTATTCTGTGAGAGTGTGGTCCTTCCCTGGTTGAGCCGACCCATTCATGCTACAACTATACCACTAATATAACTGCAGCATGGCTCTACTATGTATATGATTTAAGTTTACCTAATTTTATTCATTTATTAGTTTATAAAATCAGATTTTACTTACACATTATATTTTATTTTTGCAATAAACAACAATGATGTATTAATTTGAGTGTGGACCCATCTACTACAGTTATATGATAACACTTGAGTGGTATTGGTTTTGTATCTTATGGCCCGGCTACACCCTCCGCCTTCCCTGTGAGCATGTCTGCACAAACCTGTTTGCACAGGTAAGAGTGTGCGTGTGGACGGCAAGATGGTAGCTCGTGCAGGCGACTTGCGTAATCGTTTGCACGGTTTTGCCTGAGAGCTTACTTGAACGTGTGGCCGGTTATTCAAGCCGCGCTTCAGTCCGTCTAAATTGTTTTTGACAACACATGACATGTTATAACATCTTAAATTAAAAAAAAATATTATCTGTACATAATTATTCTAAGGATTTTTTAACTGACTTCATAGGATTGTACAAATCTTTGCTTTGTAGAAAATTAAGAGTAAGGAATATTCCGACAGGAATTAAAAAAATGAAGCTTACATTTATTAATTAAAAAACTAAAAGAGGTATGTAAATATAACCTTAGTACCTTTTTAATGATTTGTAATAAATATGTTGGATTAACAACTTGTTACATTTGTAATATTGTTAAAAGACTTCCAAAAATAAAGCAGATTATCAATTCGATACGTATGTACGTAATATTGTAGGAATTGCAAAATATTCGCAATATATATGTAATAATATAAGGCTCCGTATAAAAAAAAAACACCTCTTCTAGCCACATCCTGACGTGATGAGCTCTAAAAACGCTTTGAGTCCAGTTTGCGTGAGATTACCTGCATGAGCCATTGTACAGTCATGACCGCACAGGCCCAGACTGCGCAGGCAAGACGGAGCGTGTAGACAGGCCATTACGCCACATAGAAAAGTTTCTTTTCATGGGATGAAATGTCTACAGCTTTGTTCATATCATAGTTTTGTAATTCATATCAAAGTATTACATTCAGTCATTACTACAACTAGTTCTAATATGAATATAAGTTGCAATAATGTAACATAAAACATCTAAGAACTAAAATTGAAAGATAAAATAGAAAACTTAACTTATTTTCTTTAGAATAATTATAATTCTTATTTATTTTATGTTATATATACCTAATACAATGTTAAAAAGAGTCAAGTGTTATGATACATTAGAATAGAATTATTTTTATTTGATATAGATTACAAGAATAATTATTGATGTCCCACCACCAGCAACCCAGTCTATTTTCGAGATGTTTTCGCTGTTAGTCTATGCGACTCTTACAGGTAGGCCTTTTGTTTAAACTATAATTGACAATATAATATTTACATTGTAAATTAATAAAAATGCACTTTGACTGTCTCTTTCTATCACATTTCCTGTTGTTTTATAGATAATAACAATTTCTTAAATTTACGTGAACACTACACATTGAATAAAACTATATTTATGGATTTTATCACATTTAATTAACTATTTTAACTTATTTTTAATTCCCGACGTTTCGGGTGCTTTATAGCACCCATGGTCACGGGGGGACTGAGATGTTTGAAGTCCCAATGTCATAGTTAGCCCGGCTACCTTCAGTTTTTTAATGTTAAATTTTTTTAATATTATTCAAAAAATAACCTTTTTTGTACAACAATTAATACCAGTCACAGTTGAAATTTAGAATCGTTTGACAGGAATTTGGGGGAGTATGGTGTTTTATTTGGTAGAGGTTTGGTCCCCGATTATAGTAATACCACTCCCATTAAAAGGTAATGCACCGTTCTTGAGAAAAATCAAAAAGAATATCCCATAGATCTAAACTCAAAATCATACATCAAAATCATAACTCAAAATGAATTGGTGGGAGGTGGTGGAGAGGGAAGCGGAGGAGTTGAAGAGCGTTATGGTTTTGACTATAAACCTGATTTATGGGGGGAGATTTGGAGGAGGGAAGCATCACGCAGCACAGTCAAGGGAAGGCAGGTCGACGGAGCCCCGCTCCTACTTCTGAGTGGTTTACAAAAAAATAACCACGAAGAGAAAGGTGGGGTTTATTCGCTCGCTTCGCTCGCTCACTCGACCCCGCCATCCCTTTCTAACCTAACCTGTCCGAGTCAAAGTGCTCTAAGTACGGAGCTCGCTTCGCTCGCTCTTGCACTCAACAAGACACCAAAATATTAGCTTTTATAATTACTTTAAATTATAAACATAATATATAATACAATAATAACCACACTACGGCTCACAAAGTTGCCTGCGATTTGCTACGACGGGCGGGGACTGCTCTCCCTCCACACCTACAGCTCTACAAAAACACTTTAGGAGTAGGGCAGACAAGACTACGTAGATTCGGGCGTGCTGATATAATTTTAGTACAGATTCGATCAGATCAGATATCTATAGTCAGGTTGCCTTTGCTCCCGTCACAGACACAAAATTCTGTATGCTATCCAGCTTTCACAGTAATATCGTATAATTTTTTCTCAGAAAGGCTAGAACCCAGAGCCGTAAAGTCAGTTAATAAAAAAAATCATCATTTTCCATACTTTACATATTTTAGGTTATAATAGTTTTTATTTATTTTTTCGATAATGGTGCATTACCTTTTGATGTGAGTGGTATTATTATAATCGGAGTACAAACCTCTACCAAATAAAACACCTTACTCCCCCAAATTCCTGCCAAACGATTCTAAATCCAACCCCCAGTCACCAACATAATCACATAGCCAGGTAATAAATCCTACCAAACTTGAGTTTAGATTATCCCTTTGTTGTTTTTAATATTATACATGTCTTATTTCATGTGCTACCGCATTTCTAAAATGTAAACCACTATTAGAGAAAAAAAATTATATTAACCCTCTGCTACTGACATAACGTACGTCAGACACCGCAAAATTTATATGTCTGTCTCATTCCGTCATTTCGCGACATAATCTCCTGTCTCGCTCAGTACTTTCCTCTGAGAGCGCCACCTACGCGTTAGTGCGGCGACGGCACCCGCAGTGTGCGCACGTGGCTAGTTGGAGCTATCAGGTGTCTGCAGGACGTAAGGCCAGTAATAAGTGATGGATCTGTCATACGTATTGTCAGTAAAATATTTATAATACCCTACTGTCTTACATATGTCACATCAGTAAAATAGTTATGTTTAAAGTATCTGTCATTCATCACCTTAGCAATATGTTTCTTTATAATTTTAATGACCTATGTTTTTGTTTCTATCTATATAGATGGCGCGTACCAATAATTCGAGGAAGAGAAATCTTACAGGAAAATTACTTGAACAAGCACTTGAACAGTGGTTAGAAGATAATGAGCATGAGTTTAGTGATGTAGACGACGAAGTAGCTGATCAAAATTTTACAACTGAAGAAGAAGAACATGTTGAGAGTGAGATTTCAGACGTCGAAGAAATAGAAATTGAAACATCGAGTGAAGGGACAAATCGTTCTACTAATACACCTGACTCGAACCGCAATTGTTATCTAGGTAAAAATGGTTTTGTTTGGTCAGTTAGTGACTTTTTAAAGATATTGCGAACACTAGCTCGTAACATTGTGTCTTTACCTAGACAAAACCCTGATCTTACGAGATTTCCCGGTTACGAAGCATTCTGTCTGAAGCTTTTTGATGACAACATGATAGAAACAATCGTTTCCTGTGCAAATAAAAAACTTGAAGTTTACCGCCACCAGTTCTCTAATTATTCGAAACACGAGCAGAGAGATAGAAGTGCTGTAGAAATTTGATCTTTACTTGGATTATTATACTATTCCTCAGTATTCAAATGTTTACGATGCTGATTCAAACTATTTGTTTGCGACTGATGGAACAGGTCATGAAATATTTAGATGTGTCATGTCTAAATATAGATTCAACACACTTTTGAATTGCTTGAGGCTGGACAATATTGATGACCGACAGCGCTTCTGGATTTTTTTAATAAATTTATTGCAAATTGTCAAGCAAATTACACACCTGGTCCATACACCTGCATTGACGAAATGCTATTAGCCTTCAAAGGTCGCTGCAAATTTGTCATCTACATGCCGAAAAACCCGCTAAATATGCGATCAAGATAATGGTCTTGAGTAACACCCGGGAATCCTACGTATATAATGCGTACATTTACCACTGCAAGGGTTCTGATGGTATAGGTCTCCCGGAGGCTGAGAAAAAGCTTTCTGTCCCTACACAGTCTTTGTTGCAACTTATAAAACCCATTGAAAATACCAATCATAATGTGACAGCGGACAATTGGTTCAGCTCAATACTTCTGGCAGAAATGCTATTGAATAAAGGACTGACATATATTACATACATTGGGAACAATAAAAAAGAACAAACGAGAAATACCTCCAGAGTTTATGCCAAGTAAAAACAGAGCTGTTGAAAGTTCTCTTTATGGTTTTACAAAAGACCTCACTTTGTTGTCTTTTGATAAAGATAAAGCTGTCATACTAATTTCTAGCTGTCACCATAGTGCTAGTACGGACACAGAAACTAGAAAACCTCGCAAATTCGTGTTGACTGCAAGACTGAACTTTGAGACTGATTAAAAAAAAATCACTGTAATGATTTTTATAATTTAAGTGTTCTTTTGTTATTTGAAGCTTGAAAAAGGCAACGTTATGTTTTTTTTTTTGTTATTTCTTTTAATTTTATTCTTTTTCTTGATTGTCAAAGTTCCTAATTACAAATGTTCTTATAATTCATAAGGTTCCGGTAATAAATAATATTTTCTTAAAACAATGGTTTTATTGGTCTGTTTTTTTACAATGGCTTAAGAAATATAATGTAAACTTTGCTAAATTCAGTTTTGTTTTCAAAAACTAACAATAAAATTTGAAAAATCCTTACCCAAAGTATACGTCCGACAGGCTACTCCTCAGTAGAATAATTACAAGAAAGGCACCTCAGTAGCAGAGAGTTAAAATAATATTAATTAGAAACTACAAAGTATACATTTTAAGGTTACCATTGACTTATATATTACTAGCGCAAGGACCGGGCCGACCGAACAACTAAAAGGGATCAGTGCGCTGGCCCTAAAATTACAGTTTAGGGCCAACGCGAATCGGTCGATAGTAGTGCGCATGCAGGACAGATTTGCCTGTCAGAAATATGTCTAGTTGCGTGGTAAAAGAATGCAAAAATTATGAAACAAAGATTTAAAGAAACATGGGATATGGTATCATCAGTAAATAACCCTATATTAATTTTGTTACCATTAAATTATTATATAAACGCATTTTCAAAGCTTTATTTTACAGTTAGTTTAGTTACGTTACCAAGATTATGCCAGGGCTGGATTCAGACCCTCAAAAATATTGTACATGGAAATTAAAATTATACTATTTTAAAAAAATTATATCACATTTGACGTTTCATGTTTCTTTTTTCCCATGTGCCGGGATTTTGGCGTCACGCGTTTAGTTTATCTATACGTTTCGTTTTTTGACGGTTTTATTTTTATTTCTGTTTAATTTTTGTCTAAACAACTTAGTGTAAGTGAAATTTTAAATATTGGTACCTAATATATTTTATATTCAATTAGGGTAAAACGAAAAGAGTACAAAAGAACCCATATCTGCTTAATTGAATCTGAAAATCTGATTCATAAAATATTTTTAAATTCTGTTTTCAAACCGATTGCTTCCGGAGCATAGAGTTTTTATCTTGGTAGCCCCTCATCAAAGTTGTATCAAGGATGAAACATAAATGCATTGATCGAGCGTCGATTGACCAGAAAGGGAGCTAATTCTAATTTTATTAAAAAATGCAGTACTCATGTACAATAAAAAAATTCTTGATATCGTAGGGTTAATATTAAAATTTAAAAGGACCCAATAATAATACAAGTCGGCCTTTAAGTAAAATTATTGTATTTTCGCTTTGTATTATTACAATACTATATACTACAAACTATGAAATAATGACACAATTAGGATAATTATACTGCGAAATCCGACCCTGGTTACATCATGTTTTGATATGACGTTTGTATTATAACAGATGCGCTATTTTTTCTTGTATGAAAAAGTAATGAGTAAAATATTTAGAATGGCCTATCCTTCCTTTTGAAATCATTGAAGGTTACAGGCAAATTAATAATATAATATGAGACTACTATAATATGCTATTACTACTATAATATGAGATAATTAATATAATATGCGACAACAACATATTTTAAGGCACCTTGAAAAGAAAACGACTATATTGTATGTGCCGGCGGATTTTATAATAAATGAGAAAAAAATTTAAAAGTGCTTACCATCCTCAAACGCTTGTCGTACCGAATATTCTTGGCTCGCATAATTTCGAACTGGAGCATAGTTGTTACAGTCATTAAATTCAGATAAAGTCATTTTGTAACCGACTGAAATAACCTACATAAAATTTATTTAACGGTACGAGTGAAAATGAATCATTACTTTAATAAAAACAGTACTTTCTGTAAATTATTCTTCACAGTTTTTAAAATATGCAGTCCAAATCTTATTCTAAACTCAAAATATTAAAAATTAATAATCACTATGCCGAATGCTTATATTTATTAGAAATTCAGAAATGTGACACTGACAGATGACTCCAAATGCCAATGTCATCGCTATTGCTCTCGTGTTGCCAAGTATCATATTTTAACTTTACCTATCTCGTGTTTATTCTACACGAGATTGCATTTAAAACACCGAATAAGACTCGCAACTTTCTGCTTATCGCCTACTCAATATTTTTATTACGTAATACCGCTTTTTTATTATAAAAGTGAATAATTTGTTTCTGTAATATTGTTTGTTTTTTCATCCTTAAGTAATAAAACAGATATTGCTAAATTCATTCTTCTTTTCTTTTCTTTTTGTAATAATATGTTACCCCTCATACTAGGATTTTTCTTGTATCGTGAAAGTATTTAACAACCAAGAAATACACATGGGTAAATAATTTGTAAACCATTCGAATATATATTTATTCCATGCAGGAGATCGAATCCGCGGTCTAAAGTAAAAGAAAAGAAACACTTAGGTTCACGCGACAAAACTCAATTCTAAGTTTAAAGTCTTTTTTGACGATCGCATTCGATACAGAAACTATAAATGACACAAAAACACGACTTCAGTGTAGTGAAGAAATTTCAGTAATGTGTATAGAATATCTTATATTGCCAGGATTTGTTTGCAAATGTGATGGATAATTATTTTATTATTGGTAACAACTACCTCAACATTTCAGCTCTTTTAATGTTTTGTAACATCAACTATTGTTAGTTATCCTTGGAAGTTGATAATGGTTATTTCTCTTATTGTTAATTCTAGTATTTCCTTCAATCATGATCATGACCAATAGGATATTAAGTATGTCTAAGGAGTCTCAAGAATTACAGTGGTAGAGCCACGCGGCAGCTTTGCTGTCGCACGTATGGGCCGGCTCAAACCGGGGTGGTACCACGACCTCACAGAATACCGGCGTGAAGTGGAAGCTCTGCTTCCGCGTTTCGTCTGGTGAGTGCAGGTGGCCGGAGGCCCAAATCCCCCCCCCCCCATCAACATGGTAGCGGAATTCAATGATAGACTACCCCAGGAGGGTACCAGCACCCCTGGAGAATCCCTCGCTGAGCATCCACGACCATGTTTTTCCACTTCTGAGCGTGGGTGCTCAGGCTGCCCCGCGTATTCTGGGGGGGGGGCAAAATTCCGCTCAAGACTAAAACTGCTCGGGGCAAACGGAGCAACAAGACCAAGGCGACCCCTGCCACGCTGTCCGTGAATTTCTGCAATATCAGGGGACTTCACTACAACCTAAACGCCGTCCACTACCATCTCGATACGGCGAGGCCGGCTCTGCTCTTTCTGACCGAGACGCAGGTGTCCTCTCCGGCTGATGTCTCGTATCTCTCCTACCCGGGGTACAAACTGGAACACTCCTTTGTGCCTCGGACTGGAGTTTGCGTTTACGTCAGAGAGGACATCTGTTCTCGACGCCTCGGCAGACTTGAAGGTTCGGACCTGTCCATCCTTTGGCTACGCGTAGACAGCGACGACCATCCGCGCATCTACGGGTGCCTCTATAGGTCCCACAGCGGTAATGCCGAAACAGACCGACTCTTCGACCACGTCCAAATGGCTGCAGATTCGTTGCTACAGCAGATCCCCTCCGCAGAGATCGTGATCCTCGGCGACTTTAACGCCCATCACGCCGAATGGCTCGGTTCACGTTTAACCGATCATGCGGGGAGATCTGTTCATGATTTTGCCTTGTCATATGGTCTGACACAACTGGTTACTTCGCCTACGCGGATTCCAGATGTGGAGGATCATGCACCTTCCCTGTTGGACCTTCTGCTGACCTCTCACCCGGACGGATATCAGATTTCCGTCGACGCCCCTTTAGGCTCCTCGGACCATTGTCTTGTCCGGAGTGTGGTGCCACTCACGCTGAAATCGCGGTTGCATTCTGCAGGCTGCCGCCGTATTTGGCACTATAGGTCAGCCGATTGGGATGGGATGCGGTCTTTCTTTGCATCCTACCCTTGGGGGCGGGTTTGCTTCTCGCCGGACGATCCCAACGTTGTTGCGGATTCTGTCGCTGATGTGGTACTTCAGGGTATGGAACTTTTTATTCCTTCCTCTGTGGTGCCCATTGGAGGCAAATCTCAGCCATGGTTTGGTCGCTCTTGTAAAATAGCATCATGCTATAAGCAGGAGTGCTACCAGGCCTGGGCTGACGCATCAGCGTCCAGGGATGT